GCAGCCTCAACCTGCTGGGCTCCGGCGATCCTTCCGCCTCAGCCTTCCAAGTAGCTGGAACTACAGGTGCACGCTACCACGCCCGGCTGATTTTTTGATTTATTGTAGAGATGAGGTCTCGCCTGCCCAGGCGGGTCTCGAGCCCGCGGTCTCAGGCAATCCACTCACCTCAGCCTCCCAAGGCACGGGATTACAGGCTGAGCCACTGAGCCCAGCTGGTACACACTTCTTAAATGTCCAGCTCTGCACATACCCATATACCCACCTCTTCAATCATGATCAAGAACATTCCCAGCACCCAGAATATCCTTCGTGCTGCTTCCAGGTAATTCCTGCCAAGCCCAGAGCAAACCCTATGTGGATCTCTGTGACCAGTCAGGAATTTCAGGCACAAGCATTTAATCCTTTTCTTAGGGTTTGGATTATAAAAATTCCACTGAGGTTTTTTGGTCTTAATTTGGTTTTTTTGGTTTGTCTTTTTTTTTTTTTTTTTTTTTTGGAGTTGGAGTCTCACTCTGTCGCCCAGACTGGAGTGCAGTGGCTGCTCCCGGCCACCGCAGTCTCACCTGCTGAGATCCGGCGATCCTTCCACCTCAGCCTTCCAAGTAGCCGGAATTCCAAGTAGCTACCATGCCCGGCTAATTTTTTGATTTATTGTAGAGATGAGGTCTCGCTGCCCAGGCGGGTCTCGAACTCGCGGGCTCAGGCAATCCACTCACCTCAGCCTCCCAAAGGCGCGGGATTACAGGCTGGGCCACCGAGCCCGGCTTGGTCTTAATTTGTAGGATGCAACTTGTAACAACTTACCTCCTTGTGTGAGTTCATTTTGTGATGCTATAAAGGAACACCTGAGGCTGAGTAATTATAAAGAAAAGAGGTTTATTTTGGCTCATGGTTCTGCAGGCCATTCAAGAAGAGTACAGCAGTGCCAGCATCTTCTTCTGCTTCCAGCGAGGACTTCAGGAAGCTTCCAGTCATGGCGGAAGTTGAAGGAGGGAGGAGGCACGTCACATGGTGAGAGAGGAAGCAAGAGAGAGAGAAGAGAAAGATGCCAGGCTCATTTATTTGCTGGTTTTTTGAGTCAGTGACTCACTCAGTTGCCCAGACTGGAGGGCAGTGGCAGGATCACAGCTCACCGCAGCCGCGACCTCCTGGGCTCAGGTGATCGATCCTTCCACCTCAGCCTCCTGAGTTGCTGGGACTACAGGTGTGCACCACCATGCCCAGCTAACTTTTTTATTTTTGTAGAGATGAGGTTTCTCTATGTTACCCAGGCTGGTCTTGAACTCCTAGGCTCAAGCAATCCTCTCGCCTCGGCTTCCGGCTTCCCAAAGTGCAGGGATTACAGGCGTGAGCCACTGCGTCCGGCTGGCCAGGTTCTTTTTAACAATCAGTTCTCATGTGAGCTGACAGAGAACTCACTGACCACTTCAAGGAGGGCACCAAGTCATTTGTGAGGGATCTGCCCTTGACCCAAACTTCTCCCATCAGGCCCCACCACTGACCTTGGTGATCAAATCTCAACATGGAATTGGAGGGGACAAACATTCAGACTGTCTCACTCCTCTATAATATGGGCCCTCATGCTTTTTTGTCTGGTCATTACGAAGCCCTCTTCTACCGACTTGTGGTTAAAGCCTCTGAAGTGCACAGCCAAGATAGAGTTTATGAATAGAGCATCTCAGATGCAGTCTGAGACATGGCCCTCTCTTGTTTGGATGATTGGCTCGGCCTGGCCTTGACTTTCCTACTTTCTGTTCTGAGTATCCCACATCCTAGGAACCCTGTCAGTCCTGCGCAGACCAGGATGGTTGATCCAAGCCCTGTCCCCAAGCCACCCAAGCCCTGTCCCCTCCTTGGTCTTGGACACCGTCCAAAACACACAAGACAAGCGAAGCAGACCTGAGGGCCATGCACCCAGCACCATCTGTCCATGCCTGACACTCACCATTCGAACATCCCCAAATGTCAAACTCATTTTTTGTAGCTTGTGTGGAACTCGGCTGTCTTTGTATTTTTTCAATCTTGGCTGTGCATCAAAATCACTGGGGAGCTTGTAAAAATGCCCCTCCTTTCCCTGACCAATAGAGGCTTGGCCCCAGCACTGGTCTCATTCAAAGGCCCCAGCGCCCAGTAGGCAGCCAGGCTAGGTCACCAGGATGCTGAGAAATAAGCTGTCTGTTTGGGCAGTCCCAGGGGTATTTCCTGACCCCAGGAAACAAATCTCTCTCCTTGCCTGGACAGTACATGAGCCAAGCCAAGCCTGTCATGACCTCTAAAATTAATCTATTTTCTGGCTAATCACAGCCCCAGTCCCTTATCTGTGAATCCAGCCAAAGCCACTCAACACTCCAAGGCATGGTGGCATCTGTGACCTCTCAGACAAAAAGCTGCTTCCTTCTCCTTCGATGACCTCGTCAAATCCTGTGGCTTGAAATGTCATTTTTAGGCTGGCAACCCCCAAATGTATCGCCTATGCCCCACCTTCCCTAAAGCTCACAGCTCCAGACCCATGAACACACACAACCACCCCCTTGACACCCCCACCATGGTGGCCCCGCCAGTGCAGTTCACAGCATCTCACCCTGGCAGATCAGACCGCAGTGTCTGCCCAGGCCAGCCCCTCCAGGCTGCCCGGTCTTGGGATGGCGCCACCAGTTACCCTTTGCCCAAGTCGTCCACCTCTAAGCCATGGAAGTCCCATCTCTGGCCCCATACTCCCACCTGTGCCCAGGCCTCTATCGATTAAGCGTGGGATGTCGTACAGGCCTCCTGTCTCCTGCTTTCCTCTCTCCATTCCGAGTCTATTCGCTACCCAAAACCAAAAAGATCTTTACATAAACAAATAAAAACCCAAACAGCTTTATTGGGATATTGTCTGTACACCATAAAATCCACCCATTTAAAAGTGGTGTTTTTTTAGTATACTCACAGAGTTGTGCAGCCATCATTACAATCTAATTTTAGAACATTTCATCACCCTGGAAAGAAACCTTGCACCCATTAGCAGTCACTCCCAAGCCTCCCTCTTCCCCCTCCCACTTCAGCCCTAGGCAACTGCTAATCTACTTTCTGTCTCTATGGATTTGCCTATTCTGGACATTTCCTATAAATAGAATCATACAATCTGAGGTCTTTGTGTCTGGCTTCTTTCACTCAGTCTAAAGTTTCTAAGATGTATTATTGCCAACTAATATCCATCATATGGATATACCACATTGGTTAGCCATTCATACTTGGAAATCTGGGTAGTTTCTGTTCTGGAACGATCTAAAACGCTTTTTTTTTTTGGAGTTGGAGTCTCACTCTGTTGCCCAGTCCTGAAATGTCTCTTCAAAGACAAGTCATGAGATCAGGCATGGTGGCTCAGCCTGTAATCCCAGCACTTTGGGAGGCCGAGGCAAGAGGATTGACTGAGCCTGGGGGTTCAAGACCAGCCTGGGCAACTTGATCAGAACTCATCTCTACAATGAATCAAAAAATAAGCTGGGTGCGGTAGCATGTGCCTGTAATTCCAGCTACTTGGAAAGTTGAAGCAGAAGGATCGCCTGAGTCCAGCAGGCCGAGGCTGCGGAGGCCATGAGCGTGCCACTGCACTCCAGCCCGGGCAACAGAGTGAGACTCCAACTCAAAAACAAACAAACAAACAAACAAACAAACAAAAACAAGTCATGGACTGGCACAGTGGCTTATGCCTAGCACTATGGGAGGTCAAGGCAGGAGGATAGCTTGAGGTTAAGAGTTTGAGACCAGCCTGGGCAACAAAGCAAGACCTTGTCTCTCCAAAAAAATAGATCAGTTAGGCATGGAGGTGCATGTCTGTAGTTCCAACTGGCAGCCGAGGCAGAAGGATTACTTGAGCCCGGGAGTTCACAGTTATAGTGAGCTATGATCGTACCACTGCACTCCAGCCTGGGCAACAGAGCAAGACCCTGCTTCAAAAGCAAAACAAAACAAAAACAAGTCGCACATGGTCACCCCCCTCTTCCTAAAACCTCTGATGGCTTCACCTCATATTTGAAATGACGCTCGTTACCATTTCCTGCAAGATCCTCAATGCCCTGCCCCAGCCTGTCACCAAGTCTTTGTTTCCCATAGTTCCCTCTGCCTTCTTCATGTTTCCTGAACACACATGCTTGTTTCCACCCTAGGGCCTTTGCCTTGCTATTTCCACTTCTTTCTGCCTGAGATACTCGGTCCTCAATTCTTTTTTTTTTTTAGCCTGAGTCATTGTTACTCAGGCTGGAGTGCAGTGGCACACTCACAGCCACCACAGCCTGGATCTGCTGGGCTCAAGCAATCCTTCCACATCAGTCTTCCAGGTAGCTGAAACTACAGGTGTGTACTACCATGCCCAGATAATTTTTTTGGATTTATTGTAGAGACGAGGTCTCGTTATGTTGCCCAGGCTGGTCTCGAACCCTTGGACTCAGGCAATCCTCTCACCTGTCTCCCAAAGTGCTGGGATTACAGGCATGAGCCACTGTGCCCTGCTCTCAATTCTATACATAACTGACTGTTTCTTCCCATTCCAGGTGCAAATGTTCCTCCCAGCTAGGTTGCTCACTCTGGCTGGCATTGCACCACAGGGCCCTGTCTTCCTGACTCCTTCATGCTTACCATCCTCTGTAACTGCCTTGTTTTGTTTTTTGAGTTAGAGTCTCACTCTGTCACCCAGACTGGAGTGCAGTGGCCGCTCCCAGCCACTACACCCTCGACCTGCTGGGCTCCGGCGATCCTTCCGCCTCAGCCTTCCAAGTAGCTGGAACTACAGGCGTGCGCTACCACGCCCGGCTGATTTTTGATTTATTGTAGAGATGAGGTCTCGCCAAGTTGCCCAGGCGGGTCTCGAACCCGCGGGCTCAGGCAATCCACTCACCTTGGCCTCCCAAAGTGCTGGGATTACAGGCTGAGCCACCCAGCCCGGCTACTGCCTTGTTTCTGTTTGTGTCTATCACCTCCTTCCTCCAGTAAAATAAGTAAAATATCCAGCCCCGAGAGAGCAAGTCCTCTGTCCATCTTCTTCACATGTGTGTTCCTGAGCCCAAGAATCCTTCCTGGTACAAAGTAGGTGCTTCGTTTGTTGAGAGGTCTCCGTGGTCCAGGCATGCTTAAGTTACTCCTGCAGTGACTCCAGAAGCTTCAGTTTCTCCAAATAATCCTGTGCTTCCAAATATTGGTCCTATTCCTGGCTGCCAAGATGTCAGGGCTTGGGTTTGGGGAACATCACTTGCCTCTCCAGGGTCCCAGATGAAGAAGAGAAACACATAAAAAACAACAACAACAACAACAACAACAAAAACCAGCTAGCTAGCCCTCTCCCTGGCTTGCTGTCTCTGGTAAAGCTGGAATGGAACAGCGCCCCCTGCAGGAGGAAGGCCCTTCCCTGGTGAGATCTGTCCCAGGGAGACAGGAAGCAGAAGAAAGGAAGCGGAGGTGTGTGTGTGTGTGTGTGTGTGTGTGTGTGTGTATGACAGAGAGAGAGAGAGAGAGCAAGAGTGAGAGCGAGCAGAAAGGGGCCAGGGTTCGAGGCAGGAACTGCAGCCGGGCCAGGCCTTCCTCCTCTCCCCGTGGTGGAAGTGGAAGAAGTAGCCTGTGTGTTCCCACCAACACCCCCTGTGCAGGGAGGAAATCAAAAGCCCTCGGCCTCCAGCAGAAGCAGGGACTATGAGGAGGAAAGGACCCTCCCTCAGCTGGTGCCTCGGTAGCTGACTGTCCCTCCCTTCTGAGGACTCCACATTGTCTCAAGGGTAAATCCAAGCTTTCCACAAGTGGGTCAGAGGCCAACCTCTCTCTTCACCCTCCTGCAGGGTCTCGAATTCCCTGGACTATGTCCTCACAGTGCTTCATCGAGTTTCATGCTGCTGGGCCTTTGCCTCTGCTGTTCCCACACTCTGGAATGCTCTTTCCTGGGTGCTGTAACTGGTGATCTCCTGAACTCAAGGCCTGGCCAGAACTCCGCTCTGTGAAGCCTCTTCTGAGCCCTCCTGACAGCTGGGGACCCTCCTCTGTGCACACCCCTCAGAGCACTCACCCGAGGAGAGGAGGGCCATAGTATCCACCAACTTGTCTAGAAGAACATACACTATTTTGTTCTCTGCTTCCCCCATTCCCAGGAAGAGCGTAGTAGAGCCTTGATAAGTGTGTGTTGAACAGGCGGATGAGATTCCGGCTAACCTCCGAGACCCTCAAGGCATGGCCGATGCATCACTTACCTTGCTGTAGTTCCCATGTGCCAGTTCCAAAATGCCCCCCTTGCCCACTGCGAGGCCAGAAACAAAGTGCCAAAGAGATCTCGCAGGGCTACCCCCAGCCAGAACCACCCACTGGCCCAACCTCCCAAGACTCAAATCTCCCAGGGTCTTGGTTTGGAGACAAATCCTCCTGGGAAAAGTACCCACCCACAGCAAGCCCAGCCCTGCTCCACTGCCAGTGCTCAGAGCTGAGGTCTCCCCAGGCTGGGCCCAGGAGGAATCCTTTCCCCAGAGGCTCACTGACCAATCTATGCCCTCCTGAGCTCTGAGAATCACCCTTGTCCTCCACTCCCCCTTCAAGCCTCAGCAGCCCATCTCTTCAGTGCTGGGCTGCAGAGGCCAGGGGGTAGCTGTATCTTTAACACAAAGCAAGTGCAATAAATAAAAGTAATCTGGCAGAGGAAACTTCCCTCACTTGTTTTCCGGGGGCCTTAGCTCATCCATCTTCCCTTCCTAACCTGCTCTGTGCTCTGTTAGTTTTGCTTCCTGATAGAACGAATTTGGTTTTCTAATAGCATCTGTCGTATGCAGGGTGTCCCCAAACATTAGCAATAATGAGTTGGAAGTGGCACAGTTGGAAGCCTTCGAAAGCCAACACCAGATGTCAGGCCCTCGGTGAGGCCCTCTAAGGACGCTGGGGCCAGAGCACAGGGCAAGGGCTGGGACCGGCCCTCAAGTCTGGGAGGTTTCCAGGGAGGTCATTCATCCAACAGACATTGTGAAGTGCCCACTGTGTGCCAGGTCCTGCCTGGATGCTGGGAAGACAGGTCCCTTGCCCCATGGCACTATCACGGCCAGTTTCCAAAGGACAGAATCAGTGGTAGAAGCAAGTCCCTGCCCCAACTCAGCCAGCTGAGCCATCCCCTGGGGGGCCTGGAAGGCAAAGTGGAAGGAGATTTGGACCCAGCTAGACCTGGGTGCTGGAACTCAGGCTCCTTACTTGAAAAACCAGGCAAACAATCCTTAGCTCACTAGGTGGCTTAGTTGAGGCAAGTGAGATAATGTTGTAAGGCGCCAGCTCTGGGTCTAGCACACCAGTGGTGCCCAGGGTTCGTCAGATCCCTCTGGCTTTGAGACCCAACAGGTGCACAGGCACTGGGGCTTGGTGGGGGTCTCCCAGGGCCAGCACTGGTCACTCCTTAGGCTCAGAATTCTTTTTTTTTTTTTTTTTTGAGTTGGAGTCTCACTCTGTCGCCCAGACTGGAGT